TATCTTTGGCTATGTGTATTTTCACCGAAAACAAAAAAGGTTGAGAAGTTAGAGGGTTGATATGTTTTGGGGTTGTTAACCAATGTCATAAAACAATATGTGTACTACTGTTTCATGAGAAACTATTTGTTCTGTAAGCCTTCACCCGCAGTACAGTAAAAAAAAAAAGCAAGAGAATGAATAAATATTTTTTAAAAAGTCAGTAAAATTATAGACAGCTTTGTGTGTTCTGTGTTTATACAGATGTCAGATATTATTAGTCAATCCAAGCAAGTCAATTCTCAAGAATTTTGGGCAGTGGACTGTTTTAGTAATAATGAGATAGTTAATACAGTAATAGCCCAAGGATTTGGTATTTCTCAAGTCCTGTCCTAGATGAGTCTACACCTTCCCCCCACCCCAAGGTCCCTGTGTCCCTGTGGGCAATCTTTGCACAAAAGCAAAGCTTTGTTACTGGGTTGGGCTTTGGCCCCAAACTCCTTTCATCTGGGCCTTGAGACATGTGATTCGAATCTCATTTATCCCCAGTGGGATAGCAGCAGTGGCAAGTATTAGAAATCATACCCTGGAAGTGTAGGCTAGCCTTTTCTGACAGCTTTGATAGCTTTGTTTTTCTCTTCCTACAAGAGGGACTGCAATATTCCTGCGGAGGGTAGGGGGGTGGGTGGACACGTCCAAATGCCTGCCTTTTATGCTCTTTGATTTAACAAGAGAAATAACAATTCAGATAATGTTCACTTCTATAGGCTTACTGCAAACTGTTAATGTAGTCAGCTGCTAACCAAAAGGTTGTTAAGTTTGAGTTCAGCCGGAGGAACCTCAGAACAAAGGCCTGGCTGTCTACTGAAAAATCAGCCACTGAAAATCTGTGGAGCACAGTTCCACTCTGACACACATGAGGTCACCATGAGTCAGAATCGACTGAACAGCAAATGGTTTTATAGGAGGTGAAACTCTGTACCTGTGAGCCCCTTCCCCTTCCAATCTTGACTATATCTTCCCACCCCACCCCACCACCCCGCCACCACCTCTCTTGCAGTGGGATTCCTGCTGCAGTTTAGTCAGATTTACAGGACTTTGTATCAGGCCATCATCCCAGGGTGGAACTTTCAGAGGGATTAAAAAACCCTAGCACCCTGGGAGAGCAGTGTGAATTTTCCTTAGTTACCATCTTTTCTTCTGGACAACTTTGTTTGGGGGGCTTCATTTAAGAGAGGTGGTCCTGCCTGAGAAAGGCTTTAGGTGGGCAATCCCAGAATCCCTCTCTCTTTAGTAAGCTCTTTCTGCTTTTTGCTAGTGGGTGTGGTATTTCCTGTGGTCTGAGTGGTAAGATCAAGGCTTGGGTTTGGCCTTCAGGTGAAACATGCAGAACGGGCTTTTTGGCTGCCTTGATTCCAGAGAATTCTAGCTGATCAAATATAGAAGTAAGATAAGCACCATCCTAGCTCACTGGAATTTCCCACTGGCTTTGAGGGAAAGATATCAAGAGTTTCCTTTGTTCTCTCTGTATTGCTTAAGGCCTCTCAAAGAGGTCACCTGGTCAAATCTATCATTTTTGTATATCAGCATTCCCAATAGACAGTGTGGGCCACAGTATGTTTGCCACCAAGGAGAATACAAACATGAGAGTGGAAAACAAACACAGCCACACCCAAATTATTTACAGATTGTGATATTAAAATTCCTAAAATGATAGGAATTGTTAGTAACTCTGAAACCCTTTTCTCATAGAAAACACTTATATAAATGGTTTAGATCCCAGACTAGGACATATACATAATCTTATATAACCCTTGAACTAGCTATATTGTAATAATAATAGTGCTACACCTTATCCTCACTTATCAACTATCTTGTTATCTGACGTTTCACATTTACAATATTTAGAAGTCTACTATCCAGCTCTTTTATGCGTTAACGACGTACGTCTGGCTGTAACGGTAATGAATGCTGAGGTGCAAAGTGAGGGTAACACTGGCTTTGATGGTTAGGGTTATGTGTCACATTGGCGGGGCATGATTTTCAGTGGTTTGGCAGTTATGTAATGATGTAACTTGGCAGTTATGGTGTATTTTCGCAATTATGTAATGGTGTAGTCATCCTCCATTTTGTGATCCGATGTGGTCATCCTACATTTTCACATAACACTGATTTCGCATGATTACTTGGTCTTTGGAACCTAACCATGTCAAAAAGTGAGGAGAGGGTGTATAGAATAGTTATGTCAAATCCCTTTCTATCGCACAGGTTTATTTTGGTGACAAAATTCATGTTGTGCTCCAACTTGTGATGTCTGGAACGTATCTCCCCTAGGGGTGTAGAATGTGGGGCCGGTTAGTAGAAATGTAAGTCTTAAGGACGGGATTGGTGGTTACAATTAGTGGTACCCAAGACTTCCTTCCTTGCCTATCTCCCTGCACCTTACACTAGATACCCCATTCCTAACTACCCCCCCAACACATGCACGTGAGTACACGTTTAAGCATCCTTTTATTAGAGCTTCAGACTTGGGACATAGAAATTCTTTGACTTGCTTAGAATTAAAAGGTTTCCTGCTTACAGCTTACAAATGGTAGCGAGATGGGCAATTTCTTTTCTCACTATAATGGATAAGATCTGTTTCCTATCTCTCAAATGAAAATCATGAGTTTATTTTCCCCCTGTAAACACTGATTCACACACAGTGATCTATTTCTTTTGTGTTCTCTAGATACATTCTAAATTAAATAGATGATTGTAGGCTGACCTGGTAACCCACACATCATTTTATAATTTTTTTTTTTAATCTGAAAGCTACACTGCAAAATTAGCCTAAAGCAATCGCTTTACCTTGAATTAATTTATGTTGGAATCATGTAATTGTCGAAAGCTTGTGATTTCTAAATACATTTTTGAAAGAGAACTGAGAATTTAACTCTTACACGTTAGCACATGTCTGTCAGCATTCCCAAATAACTAAGCTGTTCCCTATAAGGAGACAGAGGAATCTTTGCAAAAAGTTAAGTTTTATGTTGGGAGGAAAGACCCTTGTGGGAGATGTCTTTTGTTTTCTTCTTCAATCATTCTGCTTCTCTTGGAAGCGTGAGGGAGGATCTAGGAAGTTGTCCCAAGCCAATCTCATATGTCTTGTATCTTACTAAGTTACTTATTGAGAGAAACTGTGGAGAGACACTGGTGCTTTTAACCATTCCAAACCCAACCAAGCTCATTGCCGTTGAGTCGATTCTGAATCATAGGCACCCTATAGGACAGAGTAGAACTGACCCACAGGGTTTTCAAGGAGCGTCTGGTGGATTCGAACTGTTGACCTTTGGTTAGCAGCTGGGCTTGTGAACCACTGCGCCACCAGGGCTCCATTTAACCATTATTAAATGCTAAATAGTCTCAAGGTTTTCAGCATCAAACGCCTGAAAAATCAAACTATTAGTACTTATCACAGTGCCTGACATGACCTGGCATCCAAAAAATGAATATTGACGATATAAATGAAGAAGCAACCATAATTCTAAACATGAGGTACCTAAAAATATTATAACACAGTCGACATATAACAACTTAGTATCTGAGGCAGGCCAGACGTGGCTTAATGCACACAGACTTTGATCCAGGTTGCAATGTCATCTTTAAAGGTTTTGGACAAAATCTCAAGGGTGAGAAAGTGAAAAGACCTTAGAAGATAAAGCCATCAGAGTATAAATTATTTTCCCCCTAGGAATATGTGAAGTCTGTGTTCCGTATGTGTCAGTATTAGCCAAGCCTCATCTCTTCCTGTTTGTGGAATTTCTTTCTTTTTAAAACTTACGTATCTTTTGGAGAGTATAGGGACTTGTATCGCTTTCCCAAAAGCAGTATTTCCCAAAGAAGTACTTGGCAGAAAAATCAACCTTTCAAATACTTTAAGCGGAAATAGGTCAAGAATACTTTACTTAAACAGTTGGAAGCAACCACAGCATGAGAGCCAAACCTCTAGCGTGGATCTATTGTATTCACTACTGTGCTTTTTAAATTTTAGGGAAGGCTGAAAATTCCATTGACGATTCCAACCTACAATGGGCAGCCATGGCATTTCTAGCATTCTTTTCTCTTGTAATTGGGTTTGCGTTTGGAGCCTTCTACTGGAAGGTAAGTTTTGCTATTCTTTTTTTTTTTCTCCCCGATCAAAAACTTTCTGAACTTTACATATTTATTTGTTCATACAATATTTACATAAATGATTAACAAACAAACACCCTTTTCTGAGAAAGGATCCTACCGAGAAACAATGAGTCCTACCTAATTTGTCGCCTCAACAAAATTTACATCGCTGATTGATTGTTCCCCGTTCCTCACCACGCTTTGGAGAAAACCTCTCTAGCTGAGAATACACGCTTAAGAAATGGGAACTGGTTTTAATTGCCTGAACTAAATATAAAAAGGAAAAAAATATGCTTAAAATCATATCATGTGCTTAAAACCAAATACAAATGCCACGTAGTATCTGTTATTTTGGATTTCTGAGCCTGTCGAAAGTTTTATAAAGTGCTAAATCATCATTACTCAGCTCTTTGAAATGTCTTTTGAATTTGATTACTATTCACATCTGGCAGTTTCTTTATTACTTTTCTACCTCTAACATCCTAAAAATGTTGAGTCAATAATACTGTACATTTTTTCATAATTTTTTAAAAATATATTTTGCATGCTGCCTGCTGAAAAAAATTATTGGAATTATTAACATAAAAATAGAAAGTGGAGATCATTTACTTCTTAAAAATTATACCATTCATTGATATTTTTATAATATATGTCATTGTTCTTTTCCCAGCAGAAACAACCAAATCTTACAAGGGCAGTTGAAAATAGACAGATCAGTGAAGAGGATAATGAGATAAGGTATTTTGTTGTGTTAAATGTGTGCATAAGTAAGCTTGACATTGCTATTTCACACATTGTGCACATGTGCATAACATCTGTAAGAAGTTATTCACTCTCCTGTTGGCAACTCTCAACCAGTGTCTCCCAACTCTCATTCATGTTTCTAACCTCTTACTCTTTTCAGTCCTACATCTGTATTTTCCTGTGGGATACCTGCACATATTTGCCTTCATGACCCTTCTTAGGGCATCAGAAGTGCTCATCTCTGCTTTCTTTATTTCTATAAGCAGCAGCCTTGCTCGGACTCCTGGTCATGGAGCTCTGAAGGCAGGTTTGATTATTCTCCTTTTCCACACCATTGCCAAAGACATTCTGATTCTTTTTTCACCTCTTTTCCCAAGTTTAGCTCTTTCTTTGGCAGTGGTCATTATCTTCGTCCAACCTTTGTCACATTCTTTCTTAAGCCATGGTTCGTAATCACACTCCCTGTTCAAGATACTTTCAGTGACTTTTCCCTTGCTTATTTGATATATTTTGACTTCATTCTAGCTTTCAGAGCCATTAATTTTTCTCAATATATTTAGTATTTTATTTAAAAACAAAAATTTTTTTAGGATGCCTTTCCGTTTAATGTAGCTGCCCCTGATTGCTCTTTTACTTTATTCCATATTGCCCTAGCACCAATATTTTTGTTTACATTCAGTTATAATTTTTATTTGGCATGTTACTTTCTCTCATATCATGCCTGTGTATATACACGCACACATACTCAGCGCACGCAAGCAGTTTTAGTATGGTTATTTGCATATGCAGAGAATTTTTTAAACTACTTGAAAGACTGTGTTGAGATAGATACAGTCTTCCCCAGTGTATGATTTATGAAGGTAAGCTTCCCACTTCATTTTGCAGTCTTTCGCTACTGGATTTACAGAAAACCCTGCCTTTTACAATGTCCAGATCATGGTGTACTTCAGAACCTCTATCCAAAAGCAAATAAACATTTTTCTTGTTTTTAGTATGTTGCAAGAAAGAGAGAGAGAGTTTCAAGAAGTGTAATTGTGGCTTGTATCAACACTGTTACTTTCGTACCCTGGTAAGTTTATAGAATTCCATCTGAGATATTTAACACAACCTATATGGCATTGGGTTTGGTTTTCTTCTACAACATCCTGGATGCCAAAATTTAGAAACAAAATATATTAGTAAGTCTTCTATCAAGCAGATGTCACTGTGTTCACTGAAGCTGTTACGTAATTGAACTGTGCATATTGAATTCATTGTATGTATCTCAAGTTTTGAACATTAAGTAGTGTTTGTCTTGATTAATGGATTCATCCTGTATGAAGATATACAAAAACAAAACAGTTTGCTGTTTATTTAGACCAGTTATGAGACCAGAAAATAAATTAGACAAGAGAATAGAGCAAGTTAGGACTAAAATAAATGAATAAAACTAATTTCATTTGGGTGCTGCCACCATAAGATAATAGAAACAGGGTCTCATGTTTAGATGTTGAAACAAAAGAAAAACCAAAAATGTTTTTTACACTATTTTAAGGGAAAGGAGAAAAGGTCATAATATCTTACAGTCAGAAGGGTGAAACTGTCAAGGTAAAGTGCCACCTGCCACATGACTGGTATAACAGTTGCGTCTCAAGGAGCAGTCCAGAGCCCAGGGTATACTGAATATAAGCCAATGACAGATGCCTGTGGTGGTTATGATGGACCAGTGGAGAGAGGGCTTGTTGGAGAAAGCAGAGTAAGATGTGGCCAGAAGGTACTGATGTATCTCCTCTCCTGTCTACATTCTCTACACCCAAGCTGCAGATGTTGTTGGAGGAACACCCAGCATGGCACTAACTTGATTCCATTATCGATTCACACTATCCTCACTTTCAGTTCTGCAAACTGGCTGTTCATTTTGTTCCTAGTCATGGAATCCCCAGCACATTTAACCACAGTGTCATGCAAATGTTCTCTCCTCTTCCTAAATCCACAAGTGTTCCTTCCCCTCCCTCATTCATTCTCATAGATAATTGCAGATGCGGTCGATCTGTGGTCAGCTCTGCCTTTTCCTTTCAGGTCACTATGCTTTCAGTTTTCCTTCTGCCTCAGATTCAGAGATTTATCCCTAGAGCTGAACCTTCCCCCCCGAGAGAAGCTGTGTCTTAGCTCTTTACTCCTCCAGGAAGTCACTTTTATAGTTATGAAACATCATTTTTCAACAACACAGAATAACATGATATAATTATGTAGTTTATTTCTCTAACACTTTATTCCTGTTATTCCAGACTTCTTCATTTTCGTCATCAAACATGCTCTTGATTGCCATATCCGATATATGAATAACAAACACTCTCTCCTTTCTGTTCCCCATCCTAGCTTTTCACCAGGCTCATTTTTCCTGTCAATGAATGTGAATAAATAGACCCTTTGCTCTATCCTTTTTATTTTCTGAGTCAATGTTCCCCAAGCCGAAATCATTATTTTTCCTAGACACTTATTTCACTGTTCTTCAGCCTCCGTACAAGCCTCCCTGTTTCTTCCCTAACTACCATTTCGGTTCCCTTCAGCCAGACTTCCACAAATCACACATTAAATGGTTAATTGAGTCTTAAAGGCTCAGGTAATGTCCTCTGTTGTTTGTTTTGGGACTGCGTTGCTGAGATTCTATTTTGGCATATGGACCTTTAACCCTGTGGTTTTCAATTGTGGCATTCATCCAGTGGCATTTGGAGAATGGATTATGATGGGGAAAATCCAGACCACATGTTTTGGAGGAAAAAATGCAACATCTTCAAGCAGCCACGGACAGGCAACTTATGCCTGTGTCTACTAGTCAGATAACATTTGAGGACAGGAACTGGGTCTGTCTGGTTCTTGCTGTATCCCCAGCACCTAACTTGATACCTGAGCATTGCAGGCTTTCAATAAATGTTTATACTGAATAAGCAACTGAGTGAATAAATGAACTCTAAATGAGGGACCTGCCCATTGGGGGACTGTGAGTGTGAGAGGTCGGTCATAGAGCACTGTTTTGAGAGGAGGCAGAGGGAGCTGGGCTGAATCCCACGTGGTAAGGAAAATGGCTCTTCTAAAACAGGGTTTGTTTTTATCTTGTGTGTGTGAGTGGGTGAGTGGGTGTTTATGTGGGTGTTTAATTTGCTGATTTTGATCAGTAAGACAGCAAGGTAGCAAGGGAGAATAGAGTCATGTGGGAAGGCAGCCTTTATTTTTCTTAACATACAAAAACATTACTTTGTAGAAAAAGAATCAAATTGAGCGGTCAGGTTAAAGAGGTCTAGAATTGTTCAGAAATGAACTTATCACTCGTATATGTGCTGAGCAGTCAGTGTAGAATGGATGCCGGAATGAATGAAGGTTTGAATAATACACCTTTTTAGAGTGCCCTGCTCATCACTCCGCATAGCCTTCTCAAAGCTCAGCTCCGATACCACCCCCTCCAAAAAGCTGACTTCAAATGAAAGTAATCTCTATTTACGGCCCTCTAATTATACCTTATCTGACTCTTGGTATGATTTTACACTTACTTACCTAGACATTTTGTGTTCCCTCCTAAACATAAGCTCTTAGAAGGCAAGATTTACGTCTAATTTAATATTAGAATCCCACCAAATTATGTAGCATATCTTTTGCTCACAGTAAGTGATTAACAAATATTTGTTGAATAAATGAATGAAGAGATGAATGAATGTCTCAGAATTGTTTTTGTTTTTAAAAACAAAAATTTGTGTATGTATAAAGAAATAAGAATTCACATACCGAGGACAAGATCAGAAAAAGGCCAGGAAAATAGCTAGCTCATCAACATGGATCTATAAACCCCAAGGTGAAAAAAAATGCATGTTTATCATTTGTGATCATTTATTGGGTACCTGTTATATGGCATAAAGCCTTATAATTAGCCCTGTAAAAACAGAGGTTTAAAACTTGACAAATAACTTTAAGTTTGGGGAGAGGGGTGTGGTGGAGGGAAGGTTTGGGAGAGCAGATTCTAACCTAGTAAGACAGGAAATCTTCCAAGAAATAAGAATAATGGTAGTAAAGAATACCAAGGTAGAATGAAATGTGGAGTTGTAATTATATATTGAAAAAAATTAGATGTAATTTGGATTATAGTCATTTTCTTGGTTAACTCAGGTTTATGGCAAGGATTTCCCCCTCAAATGGAAGTTTCACCAACTAAAGCAAATTAGGACAAATATCGAAACACGGGAATAGAAAACATATGGGATAGTTCTCCGAAGGAAATAACCTGTAATTGGAAAACAGATGTTAAACAGGTTTGTGATTTTAAATAGAAGGAAAGAACATGGAAGAGATGCAAAAAATGAACTGGAAAGAAGAGAAAGAGTTGCCTCTAAGAGAAAATATACTAAAGCTGTCTTTGACACCAAACATGAAAACATTTATTTGAAAAGTTAAAAATCTCCTTAATCACCTAGCTGATGCCACGTATCCATATGTGACATCCCACAAGAACTCCTCAGGTGATTTGCTATACTTTTCATTTGTTTGGTTGTGTATAGTGCTGTTTAAGAGAAACAAATAAAATGGAGATAAATTACATTAAAAGCTTCATTTACTTTAGTGTATTGTAGGGACATTTTACCCTTCTTTCTTCCCTCAAATGTGATTCCGACAAACTCAAGTAGATGCACTGGTGGATGCAAAGCTTAATATAACCTAGTTGTGTTCTCAAGTTGCTTATAGTCCAGAAAAGGAAATAAGGCATATACATAAATCAACAAATTAAAAAAGCAAACTAGACGTTTACAGAGCTTAAAATGCAACAAAAGGAGCTGACAAAGAAAATGAAATAAGAGATCAAAGATAGGGCCACTGCATATGGTTATGCAGGATGTGCACTCAAGATCTTCTAGATATTGATGTGATGACACCCCTTAGAATTGTGCAGTGCACAACCATATACATTGGTCTTATTTGAAGGGAGAGAGAAATCACTCACAACAAGAAAAAGTCTTTGTTGTAGAGAAGGCACGTTAACTGAGCTGAATCTCAGGTGATCAGATTTTATGACCAATAGGCAAGGGATAATCCAGACACTGCAAGTGGCATAAACTAATTCATGGAGGCCCAAAAGTACAGTGTTCGAGGGTGAGTGTGTACAGGTGGACACCAGTGGAGTTCTCACATAAAGGGTTAAAATGCTGAAAAGAGAGAGTGGAGATCAGTTTGAAAAAGGATTTGAATGCCAGATGCAGGGATTATACTCCACTGGGTAAGTTATAAGGAGCCTTTGGGTGTTTTAGAAAAGGTATGAGTGGTACAATCAAAGCAGAGGTTTAAGAAAAGTCATCTGTTAATGGTGTGGCTAGATGGATTGGAGTGCTGAACTGGAGGCAGGAAGTCCACTCAGGAGGCCAGTCTTCCAGACAGATGTGAGAGAATGATGGCCTGAACTAACTCAAGGTCATGGAAATAGGAAAACATGGAGCATTGTGGAGACATCGCAGACAAAAAATCAACCAATCTTAGTTTCTGATGGGATGTGAAGCGTGGCATCGCGGGGAATATTCAAGGATGATTTGGAGCCTATGGAAATAAACAGATAGTGGTGCCATTATAAGAAAATGGAAAGTCAAGAGAAGGAGCTGTTGGTAAATATTGGTGGAACTGTTCAGTTGTCAAATATGTTATACTGGAACTTCAGAGAGCAGTCAGGGCTGGAAATAATAGATTTGAGAGTCATCTATAAAGAATCTAAATTGAAGCTTTGGGAGAAGGACTCTTCGTCACAGAGGAGGCCTGTTCCGGTTGTTAGTAATACCATGGGTTTGTAGACAGGACTGTTTATTGACCTACTACAGCATGGTAAGTATAGAAAATTATTCTCTTTATAATGAGGCATGTAAAGAGATTCACCAACACAAACTGGAAGTTTCCTATAGATCTGAGCTAAGGCAGAAGAAAATAGCTCCTAGAATTAGAATAAGGATGTACTCGAATCAAGTTTGGACATTTAGTGCATAGAACTTGGGAATTGTTTGGTCACCAAATGGAAAGATCTGTGACTCTTTACCAGGTATTTCCTAAGACTTTCTGGAGCTTTGGGGATTTTGTTTTTTATCTTTCTTTCTGTAGACCCATTGTGACGCAGAGGATTACAAGGGATTAGAA